CTGTCCTTTTGTGATTGTGATATTCAGATGTTAGGCCTCCTATATGTGTTCATTATTTCACTTGTGTCTTCTGCTTGTCTTTTCCATTGATTTCTTTTTTCTACTCTGCTTTCCAAAAAGTCTTTGAGCTTGTATTACAATTATTCTGTTGAGTTTTTTTCAATGTTACTATTGGGCTCTAATTTCTAAGAGTTCTTTTTTCTCTCTGGATTTTTTTTTCTAGCATCTTCTTCTTCCTTTATAGATGTAATTTTTTTAACCCTCTGACAATAGCAATTGGAGAATTTCCTCTTCCAAAATAACCTCTGTTACCTCTCAGTGTACGCTTATGTGCTTTCACGTATGTGCTTTTGTCTCCAGATTTTGTAACAGTCCTTCCGTAAACATATGGTATAAAGAGGACCAAAAACTACAGTGAAGATTTAAATTAAAAAGTTTATTACAGTAAAAGACATATCACCTTCATTTTCCCTTAAACTAATATCCCTTGCTTCAAATACACCTCGCACTGCATTCTTGCTACTTTCTGAAGCAGTCTTCTTTCCTGAGTATCTTTAGTTGCGTTGCTGTGCCTTCCTCAGGGCCCTAAATCAGTTCAATACATTTACCTCTCATGGCTATTTTGAACTTAGGGAAGAGCCAAAAGTCACATTCAGGTGGATAAGGACCCGCTGTAATGTTTTTCACAAGCCTGTTTGTCCATTGGACATCACTCAGCAGTAACATTCACCACATTAGTAATCACAACTTGTAAAGACACTCACAAAAGAAAAATTCAAGAATTGCTTCAAAAAGTGACCCCAAAAATGAGACTAGTGAATTTGAATAGAGGAGGAGTATTCCAAGAGATATTAATTGCAATGTGTCTTTCATAGTAACAATTTTTTAATGTAAACATTCACTGTGTATTTCAATTACACCTCATAGTTCTTGCTTATCAACAGCTTGAAACTGTTGGTAAAGCCTGTCTTCTTTATACTTCACTACAGAATAATTGGGCAGGCAGTTTCAAGGAAGTCCTGATGCTAGTATCCTTAAGATTTCCTTGCCAAGTTCAAATTTTCCCAGTAGAATTCATTCCAGTCTGCTACCTGGAAGGTAAAGTTGGGATGGTTCTCAGCTCAAGTGGGTTGTACAACAAATTAAGCAGGATCTCTCTCTGGGCTGATATGGACTGATAAATGCAATGTGCTCATTTATTGCAGAACTCTGGATTAGCCAGAATCTGGCTGGGCCCAATGTTGAATGAGTTTTTAATCTCTGTGTTTGAGGTGGTTGTTAAGAGGGCTTTGAGCTGGGGTTTTGTACTGCTCTTAACTGAATCAAGAAATATATTGGACTGAATTTATTTTTAAGCCAAACTTGGCCATGCTTCTATGGGGGTTTTAATGTGATGAAGACAACAAAGCTTTAACTGTTTCTCTGCTGAAGGTGAAGAGAGTCTGGTTGATGAGATGCTATCAGGGCATCTTACTCAGATTATGGTTCTAGGCTTGGCTTTATTACAGTTGCCTTTGTTTTCCTGTCATCCAAAATCATTACTCAGCTGTTTTAGATTCTTCAGAAACTTTGTTATTCCAGATGATAAATTGGTTTTGGAAATACATTCATGACATTTTACAGATGTTGGTCCAGAGGACTAGTGAAACCTCCAAGAACCTACAAACTTGACTGACATAAATTTAATGGGTTGTCAGGATGATAGCTTGGCATTATAAGTGCCTGCCTGTTAAGGGCAAGGTTGTGAGTTTGATCCCTAGTACAAAAAGTAGTAGTAGTAGTAGTAGTAGTAGTAGTAGTAGTAGTAGTAGTAATAAATAATAATAATAAATTTAGTGAGCATTATAAAAGCTGTCCATTTTGTAGCAATTATTTCTTTTTTTGGTGGGGGAAGGGCCTACAGGGTGTTCAGGGTCTCACTACTAGATCGGACTCGTGCCCATTTACAGCCTTCCAAGTGCTGGATTTACAGGCACGCGCCACCACACCCAGTCTCAATTGCCATCTCAGCATGCCCTGGGGGCAGGGCCAGACCTGTAGGCACAAGGATCGAACCCCTGGCCAGCCACTGCACCTGCTTGCAGGTGCTTTAATCCGCTGAGCTATTTGGCTGGCCTTTTTTTTTTTTCTTTCTTTCTTTCTTTAGACATAGCAATTATTTCTAAGGGGGAAGAGATCCCAGTTGTTCTTGGATAGTCTGTGTTATCTAGATCATTGCCAGGCATCATCAAACATAGCCGTTTCAGTGGGATTCTTGAAAGGTTGGACAGCACTTATCAGAGCACAGCGTTGTGTTTGACAGCTTGCTGAAAAGGGCTGGGTCACAGTGTCAGAGATGATGGGGGCAAAAGAGTGAATCTCTAGGAGACCGACAGATAGACAGGTCATATTTAGTAACTGTCCTTTCTGAGAAGGAAGCCTTGCACATTCAGGCACAGGGATTTGAGCAAAAGCTTTGGCACGACAGCTTTCTGGAAGACAAGGAACTTGAAGTGCTTGACATCCTTAAAGATTTAAGAATTTTTCTTGCAGTAAACAGATCATTCAAACGCTAACAAGTTACACATTTGTGGATGTCATCTCACACCCCTCATATTCCTGCACTGTAATTCTTCTTGGTGACCCAGGGACACTTTTAACTCATTGGTGAGATTTCCTCGTGGCTTCTCCTCCTGACTTCCTCAGTATGTGGCACTGTTGACCACTTCCTCCTCTAAGAAACTCTTCCCTGCCTTAGCTTCAACATGCATGGTTAATTTTCTCCTGAATGTTTTCCACCCTAGAAACATCAATCCATATTCTGGAAACACTGTGCACCTTGTTTTTCCCAACTTAAGTTTAAGAAGCAGAGAAGTCCCTTCCAAACCCCATATATCTCTTCAAATCTTTAAAAGGCTATCAAATCTCTTCTAGAACACGGTGTTTTTCAGCAGGCATTAGCAACCAAGACGCTCCAAGTCCCATCAGAACAATGAGAGGTTCCTCAAGAGGATGGTAACATTTAAGCAGGAAGATTTGGACAGGTTATAGTATTTAAACCTTCCCCTGGGGCTGGAGAGATGGCTCAGTGGTCTAAGGCACCTACTTAGAACAAGCTTGGCAAA